ATTTGGTTTATTGTTACACACAATGGTGCTACATAGCCTTCCCAGCTTGGTGCCTTCTTTTAATACTTACTGATTAAAAAATAAATAATAAATACATTTTATTCAGGAAAAGTACATACAGTTGATTTACAAACATAATGTTGGATTTATAAGCAGAGCTAGTACATACAATACCTAAAGCCACTAATACTCATAGCATTTCGGGCAAGGTGTGGGGGAAAAAAAACACAGACTAAAACTTAATAGTAATCGGGATTAGGTATAAATTGTGTTGAAAGAAGGAATAAAAAATACAAAAAGGGGGGTTAACATAGCATAAATCAGTAATTGCACATGTTGGTGAACAGCGTTGTTTAAAAAATAGCAAGACATGGGTTGACATTTAGGAGGTAAGTTAGGTTACATGGAGTTAATTAGGCAGTACTTGGTTTAACTCTTAAACTGGTTGAGAGAGGTACAGCCTTTGACATGATTCGGGAGGTCATTCCATATTCTGGGTCCCTTGATTTGTAGAGCACTTCTAGTTTGGTTACACACAGCCAAATTGAGTAACAGGAAGAGGTCTTGGACACAAATTTGTTCCATGCTAAATGTAGAGGAATCAGCTGAGTATTCCTCAAATAAAATAAGTTGCCTCAGCTTATAAGGTAAATAAAATAAGCATTTCTCAAATAAGTAGCTGCCTCACCTCACTGCCTTACTGCTACATAGCCTTCCCGGCATGGTGCCTTCTTTTGATAATTACTTGTTCCACACCCAAATTGTATAACAGGAAGAGGTCTTGGACCCCTACTTCCCTCTCTTTTTTAATAATCTATATAGTAATAATTATAGCTTTAAGTATTCAATGAATAAAGTTTTTGACATTTTTACCCTTTTCCTTACCTAACATCATTTGTGCAGCATATTTTTATTTTATGTCTCACCCAGATTTAATTTCAAAATAAAACCAAACTAAATAAATTAGAAATGGGTATGTATAGCTAACGTACACCCTTACTACTAGGTGAACAGGGGCATTTGGTGATAGTAAATGATCCCATCAGGCAGGGGTCATCACCTTCTCTCATATTTCATGTTCACCAGTGTTTATTTACTTAATAACTACTGGTATAATATCTTGCAATTATAAAACTAATTCTACTATTATCAAACACATATTTACTTCAAGTTTCAAGCAGAGAATGCATATATAACTAACACGAAGGACTCCTCTTCACTAGATTCACCAGCTATAATATTTTGGTCATGTTCCAATATCATAAATCGATCCCAGTGTTATGTAGTAGAGAAAAAATGACTTATATCCAGTTTACGTAAAGCTACGAGCAGTCGAAACCACACTTAAATCCCGGAATGAACTTACGAAGGTTTTTCCACTTAGGGTACTTAATTGAATATGCGTAGCCGCACGAAGGCACCTCGCGCCTTCGTAAGTACCTTCCTGAATGCGGGCAGCAGCACGATTAGCTGACGGCTCTAGCTGTCAGAACGTCGTAGTTTCCCACGCCTCCAGCGATGCGATCAGCTGTGCGTTTCAGAGTACGTTGCTGGCTCCTTGCACACAACTACCCTTCCAGGATCACTAACATCCCCGTCTTAATGTTCACACACACCAACTCATGCCTAAATGAGTTTTTGGCTCCTAGCCTAACGTCCTGTCACTTAGACAATAAAACGATGAGAGGAAATATTCACAACATATAAAATACTCTAACTCCCCTAGCTCAAAAAGGGGTAAGGGAGAGACAATTATCTACCTTATTTCCCTCCAACCACGAAGCTGACTCGTCCTCTGTTGTGGGATGTTGAGGTTCCTGGTTCTGGCTTCTGGTCTCCTGATGAACAGTTCCCACACACACACAGGTTCCTCCGTCGCCTTCGTGGTAACGCGTCCTCACCGTGCAGGACGGTGAGGACAGGTACCAACAACAGGTACTATCCAACAGGTACTGCCTTCCTCCTCCTATTCTCTGGGGCACTGGAGACAGGTACCTCTGTCGTCGTCCTCCACACTCAACTTGCACTGTCGACTCTTCACAGTCCAGCACAGCTTCCCCCTCGCCTTAACTGCCAGTAGATTTGGATCCGCCCTAGCTTCTCGCTTGATGTGTAAGACGGGGTCCTCTAGTGGGCGTCCCAGACGTCACCAGCCCAACGTTTCCCCCTGCTGCAGACTCCTGATACGGCTCTTGGCTCTTCAATCCGGTCCGTCCTTGCCTCCGGGCACTCCACGGAAGTTGGATGGCTTCCCAGACTGTCTGCAGAATCGAAGCGGAGCTTAAATCTACTGGTAAGGGCTCTCTAGGTCCGGAGCTCGCTCGAGCGCGTCTTCCCTCTCTGACGGCTCGTGACGTACTGTCTTCCCGCCCAGGTGCCAGCCGCCCCGCACCCCTCCGCCTCATGACGTCACACCGCCTGAGGGCTCTCGTCATTGGTCACTTCCGGCACGTGACCTCACCTGGCCAATCAGTTGCCGGGAAGCGTCAGGTCGTATTGGCGGGAAACAGGATGGCTCGTCACCGTCCTGTGCTTCAAAAAGGCGTAAGCCCCTTGCATCATCAAACTTAGCTGGCCATTTTACAGCCAGCTTAATCACGCTCCACGCTTTCCCACACCTGAAAATGTTCCCTGAACATCAGAGAATACTTAGGCTACAGAGATATGACTCTTCTAAGCTGGGAAGGAAGAAATACAAGGGTGGGACACCGTCACATACCCCTCCCCTTAAAATAAGAGCATATCGAATGAGCCGCATTGGAGAGGGCAACTATGCTCTTGCTCCCTCCATTCCTGAAGTGTTACTCCTCCCGTTTGTGTCGTGGCTCGTACCACCTCGCCAGTCACTTGTGTTCCTACACTTCCACCTTGCACCGTACCGGGTGGAGTGGGCGTTCCCTGAACACCTATAAGGGATCCTCCTTCCGTGTCCACGAGTGCGTTCCAACGACTCGTTAGCTCTGCAAGGTTCAGTGAATGTAGAGCCTTCACTGCGTCGTGCACACTGAGGTACCCTTGCACTTCCATCACGTCCTACAGGTACTCTATGCTTCCTCTCAGGATCTCCTCTTCGCCATTCTTCTCTCTTCTCGGTTCCTGTTCTCTCGTAGGTGCGCTGTCTCCTCACAGCGACACCTGTTACCTGTCCTCCACTTATCAACTTCATCTTTTCTACACTAGGCTTTTGCGATGGCCCAATGCCCCTCTGGCTAGGCCGGTGCCTACCCTGGGTATACCTGTCCCCTGCTTTCTTCCAATTACTTTTCCTATACCATTCGTTCTTTCGTTCCCATTGAACATCTTCACTCCTCCATGAGATTCTCTTCCCTGTAGACGTCTTCTTTGGTTCGTGGTTGGGCTCGTCCACCTCCCTGTGGCTCACCTCACCACGGTGGTTCATCTCGCACCTACCACTATTCATCCGGCTGGCATAGGGTGCATTGCGTCGTGGCTCCTCCACTCTGCCCCTCACCGCCGTTCGCTCATGCACTGAGCTCACCCTTTCTGGTGGAGGGAGTGCGGTCTGCAGCAACTTCATCGCCCCAGGCGCTTGTACAGCTGCTCCCCGCCACTCCTCCACACGCATCATTAGGCTTAACCGCAGGTCCTTGTCGGGGTTATCCATGACCTCTCTGTCTTTTCGCCTTCGTCGTTGTCGTCCTTGACGACGTTATCATTGACGCGGTTGGCAACCCCACCACTGCCTGGGCCAACCAACACCTCACCTGGCAGGGTCGCACCACTGCCTGACACAGACACGCCTGGCCCAATCGGGTTGTATCCTTCCCTCACAGATGTCGTTACCCAGCACCATCTGCACGTGCTCTAAGGGTAACTTAGGGGCTACAGCTACGATAGCCTTCTCGACTCCATAGTCGGCCATCAGCTGCACCTCGTGAAGTGGTAACCTGTACTCTTCTCCTACACTCCGTATTCTCACCACTCCCACAGGTGAATCATTATATTCGTTGGGAAGAATACTCCTGGCTACCATGCTTATGTCAGCACCCGTATCACGAAGAACTGTAATCTCCACTGGGTCTGACTTCCCAAACTTCACTGTGGACCCGAAAACGAAGGAGTGTGCACCCAACCTCATTTCCCAACCATTCACATTGGGTCCACTATGATATGGGGTATGAACAAATACTCTCTCCTCTTCCAACATCAGTCCCATATTCCTCTGGTTCTCGTCACACTCACGGGCGAAATGTCCGCGCCCGCCACAATTAAAACACCTGACTCTCCTGGGAGGCGACTCTCCACCTGTCACTCGGGCAACGCCCCTGGAAACCGCTGTCCCCTGGGTCCTCGTCGCGCCCCCGGTCGTCGTCTCCCTGGCAGCGTTCCTCGCTCCAGCACCAGTCCCGGTGTTCCCTCCTTGGGGTCTCCTCACCGGTTCCCCTGAACTCTTGGACCGACTCACCTCACTGTGTGCACTATCCTTGGGAGAGTCTCCACCCGTCCTCGCCCCTCCTGAACTCTTGAAGTTCCCCCCCAAACCTTGGGTAAGGCGAGTGCCTAGGCGGTCCCTCCTTCCCGAGATGTAGTGCCTCTTCCAGTAGGTCGGCTCTGTCTGCAGCAGCCTTAAGTTCTCTAATACCAGCCTCCTTGATCCTGACCCTTAGTTCTGGATGGAGCATTGACATGAATCTTTCCATCACCATCAATTGCTTCAGCTCCTCCATCGTCTCCACCTCTTCAGCCTTCAGCCATCGCAGGAACTTGCGCTCCATGTCCCGAGCTGTTTCAGCATACGACCTTCCGGAAGCTCTTGTGCACTCACGGAAGCGTTTCCTGTAAACCTCCGGGGTTAGTCGATACGATTGGAGCACAGCTTTCTTGATCATGTCGTAAACGGCGCATTCCTCAAGGTCCAACATGTTATAGGCTTCCCTGGCCTCGCCAGTCAACCTCCTCTGCACTAACGCAGCCCAATCCTCTTCCGGCCATTCCTTCAATGTCGCTATCCTCTCAAAATAATCGAAGAAAGCTTCAGCCTATAGAGGGTCAAAGGTTGGTAGGTCGCGTTTCCGGACCTTGGGGTCATCCCGCCGAGCCGACACCGAGGGCAGCCCGCGCTCCGCCCGACGCATCTCAACCTCCTTCGCTTTTATTTCTTCCCGTCGCAGTTGTCTTTCTCCTTCTCGTTGCAGTTGGGCTTTGCGCTCCTCCAGCTTCAGCTGAGCCTCGCGCTCCTCCCGCTTCAGCTGGGCAGCGCGCTCCTCCCGCTTCAGCTGGGCTTCGCGCTCACGCTCCTCCCGTTCCAGTTGGGCTTCACGCTCCTCTCGCTTCAGCTGGGCTTCGCGCTCCTCACGCTTCAGCTGAGCTTCGCGCTCCTCCCACTTCAGCTGAGCTTCAAGCTGCATTTTCATCATCTCTAGCTTCATGCTTCTCCTGCTACTACTGCTGGATCCCCTACTGCTACCTTCGTCGCTCCGGTTCCCACCATCACTGGCAGGTACCTGGGGCGGTCCTTCCTCAGAAGCCTTCTCTCGGGCCTTGAGCTGAGCCATGATCTCAATCCGACGCTCTGCCACCTTGGAGGACCTCAATCTCAACCCAAAATGGTCCGCCACTAGCTGCAGCTGAGCCTTGGTGCACTCTTCCAACTCCTGCGCGACCCTCGACTCAATAAACTTCTTTACTCTGTCATCCTCCATCTCTAGGCTATTGAGTAATTGTATACAGGGAATACACTAGCGAGCAGTGTAAACCGAGACCAATATCGACCTTAATACACTTGCCCTGCACTTGCAATCCTTTGTCCACTGTTGTTCGATGAATCCTAGCAAGGTCGCCACTGTCAGGGTTCACCCCCTTCCACCCTGTGGTTGGGGTCGTCCCACGGGTCTTAGCCCCTCAGTACCGGGAGCCACTGCTCGCCTTTGAGCTCCCCCAGTCAACTAAGGGCTGGCCTTATACACCCCTAGCGAGTGGGGAGGTTCAAGCTTCTTATAACTCACCTAAACCTGCCTGTCCTGACACTGGAACGCTTTCTCTTGCATCTGTCCTGAGGATTGATTGATTGATAAAGATTAAGCCACCCAAGAGGTGGCACGGGCATGACAGCCCGTAAGTGGTACAATTGTTTTTTTCTGTGTATCCTGAGGTTGCATTTAACCATCAAGCTGTTATCGCGGGGGAGGATACTGCTTCACAGTCTTCTTTCACCCTGCTGGACACCTTTGTTACCAGGAGAGTGGCTGTGTTGATGGCTACGTGGCCACTGCATGATTCGGGAACTCTTAAAGCTGTCTAAGGTCATGCTTCACATTCCAGAAGATAGTGAAGTAGGCTTTTCTGTGACAGTTTGGCAGAAGATGCACTCTCTCTGTCGGGGTTCACCAATCTCCCAGTTGCATCTGTAACCTAGACGTATGTCCTGAGGTCGCCAGCTGGGTGTTTATACTCGTGTCCCAGCAACACGTCAGTGGTCTCATTAATTATCTTGGCTAAGGATGCAATGTCCCGTGCAGTGCAAAGTGTAACTAATGGTCTCATAAATATATAATATATCTAGCCCTAGAGAATGGAGGCTCACTTAAACTCCTCAGCTGATTTAAAAGTTTACTGACAAAAAACATATATACATATACAAAGGCATAAAGAAATGTCTATGTTGGAATCATCCGCTGGCGGCCGCGTTTCTCGATGACACGTCTCTGGCAACACGGTCAGCTGACTGGATCCACTCCCCTGGCGCGGGCACAAACCTCGCGCCTCTGGCAGCACGATCAGCTGACGGCTCTAGCTGTCAGAACGTCGTAGTTTCCCACGCCTCCCGCGATGCGATCAGCTGTGCGTTTCAGAGTACGTTGCTGGCTCCTTGCACACCAACTACCCTTCCAGGATCACTAACATCCCCGTCTTAATGTTCACACACACCAACTCATGCCTAAATGAGTTTTTGGCTCCTAGCCTAACGTCCTGTCACTTAGACAATAAAACGATGAGAGGAAATATTCACAACATATAAAATACTCTAACTCCCCTAGCTCAAAAAGGGGTAAGGGAGAGACAATTATCTACCTTATTTCCCTCTAACCACGAAGCTGACTCGTCCTCTGTTGTGGGATGTTGAGGTTCCTGGTTCTGGCTTCTGGTCTCCTGATGAACAGTTCCCACACACACACAGGTTCCTCCGTCGCCTTCGTGGTAACGCATTCTCGCCGTGCTCACATCCAACAGGTACTGCCTTCCTCCTCCTATTCTCTGGGGTACTGGAGACAGGTACCTCCGTCGTCGTCCTCCACACTCAACTTGCACTGTCGACTCTTCACAGTCCAGCACAGCTTCCCCTCGCCTTAACTGCCAGTAGATTTGGGCCCGGCCCTAGCTTCTCGCTTGATGTGTAAGACGTGGTCCTCTAGTGGGCGTCCCAGACGTCACCAGCCCAATGTTCCCCCTGCTGCAGACTCTTGATACGGCTCTCGGCTCTTCAATCCGGTCCGTCCTTGCCTCCGGGCACTCCACGGAAGTTAGATGGCCTCCCAGACTGTCTGCAGAATCGAAGCAGAGCTTAAATCTACTGGTAAGGGCTCTCTAGGTCCGGAGCTTGCTCGAGCGCGTCTTCCCTCTCTGACGGCTCGTGACGTACTGTCTTCCCGCCCGGGTGCCATGCCCCGCACGTCACACCGCCTGAGGGCTCTCGTCATTGGTTACTTCCGGCACGTGACCTCACCTGGCCAATCAGGTGCCGGGAAGCGTCAGGTCGTATTGGCGGGAAACAGGATGGCTCGTCACCGTCCTGTGCTTCAAAAAGGCGTAAGCCCCGTGCATCATCAAACTTAGCTGGCCATTTTACAGCCAGCTTAATCACGCTCCACGCTTTCCCACACATGAAAATGGTCCCTGAACATCAGAGAATACTTAGGCTACGGAGATATGACTCTTCTAAGCTGGGAAGGAAGAAATACAGGGGTGGGACACCGTCACACAGTTCATACACCGAGGTGGAAATATCTCTGGGTGTATACAGCTAGAGGTATACCCTTCTGTATACTATTCAGTATATCCCCCATGTTAAAGAGTCTCTTGACACCTGGGTACGAGGCATTAGATGGCAACCTTTTCCTTTTTAGCAAATTATGTATAAAATTGGTCTTCAAGCGAGGTGGTCTTCGTCGTCGAACCCGGGATCCTCACTACAAGACTCCCGAGCCGGATACCCGGAAACGACGGAGACGGTTAAGCACTTTTCTCTTTCACCTGATGCCACTGTTCATTCAGCAGTAAATAGGTACCTGGGAGATGGACAACTGTTGTGGGTCGAAGGAAGAGTCAGTAGGCAGGCCTAGTCAGGCCTATGTTCCACTAGGCCAACCTAGGCCCTTAGTGATTCTGGAGTACGAAAAAAAATTCACTAAAAAGAACATAAATAATTTATTACCAAAAATTAACAATTCAGTCACCTGACGTAACCTGTTCTTTATTGTAAATGATTTTACATTAATTAATATATATACGAGCCAGAAGAGAGTGTGTGGGAGAGTTGATAGCACGGCTTCACACGGGAGTGGAGTGTGTGGTAGAGTTGATAACACAGCTTCACATGGGAGAGGAATATGTGGGAGTTGATAACACGCCTTCACTCAGGAGTGGATTGTGTGGTAGAGTTGATAACACGCCTTCACACGGGAGTAGAGTGTGTTGTAGTTGATAACACACCTTCACACAGGAGTGAAGAGTGTGTGGGTGTTGATAAGACACCTTCACACGGGAGAGAAGTGTGTGGGTGTTGATAACACACCTTCACACGGGAGAGAAGAGTGTGTTGTAGTTGATAACACACCTTCACACAGGGAAGAATGTGAGGGTGTTGATAAGACACCTTGACACGGGAGAGAAGTGTGTGGGTGTTGATAACACACCTTCACACGGGAGAGGAGTGTGTGGGTGTTGATAACACACCTTCACACGGGAGAGGAGTGTATGGGAGTTGATAACACGGCTTCACACGGGAGAGGAGTGTATGGGAGTTGATTACACGGCTTCACACAGGAGAAAGACCAATTTCCATTTAAATTAGAAGCATGCCCAGCACATGTGTATAAGAAGCTCCAAGTCCAAAGTTTTAATACCAAGATGAACACATAACAGATTAAAATAAGGAAATATATTCTGAAAAGTATAATGATAGAATGAATATAGAATGATGTGAGAAATATGAGAGAATGATGATAGAATAACGAGGGGAGCGAATTATCACGAGAAAGCGCCAAGCCATTACGACTATATAGCACTGGGAAGAGATCAGGATAAGGATTTTGAGTGGGACGAGGTGAAGGAATGGTGCCCAACCACTTGTGGTCGGTCGGGGATTGAACGTTGACCTGCATGAAGCGAGACCGTCTTTGTTCTGTCTAGTCCAATTGACTGGATGATAAAAAATTAGAGAATGATGAGTTAATGAACTAATTACTAATAAATTATTACAAAAAAAGAATAAATAAAATTAAATATGTTCTTAAGTTACCGCAAGTCCATCAACTCAGAAATAAGTCCAGTCAAAAAGTACAAACCTTTTTATTTGGTGTGTCACGGTAAAATCACTAGTAAGAGATTCGGCCTGCTCCATTATCCCCTATTATACCCATTACCATATCTATATATTCAAGTACTGCAGCAGCAGCAACAACAACAACAACTACTTCCAGACGTCTAGACAGTATACCAGTCTCCCCCCTTCACCACTGCCCGTCGCCCCACCTCGCACCTGGGTCACTAGGAACTCACGCTATCCGAAACAAGCAGTTTAAAAGCCGGTTAATAGTTAAAGAAGTCACCAGCGCCATCGCCCGGCCTTCATTGTGCATATATAAGGCTGCCTAGCCCACTACGAGTTAAATTATTCCTGCGTGCTCAACTGAATAAACCCGTTAACACATCTCGGCGTGGTACCAGATTTAGCCAGCTTATGCTCACAGTATTCCAGCACCATATTTTCTAGTATTAACGTAACGTAAATTTAATTGTCTGTTTATCTTGTTTAATTTGCACTCTGTATAAAGCAAAGTTTAAATAACATGTTTACTTTGTAATTTGTTTAAAGTAAGATTCCTATTAAAGTTAAGTATTTTTAAATTTTTGTTCTGCATGTTTTCTCCTACCGTTAACCTCACAGTGCAGAAAACTTGCAGTTTAACTTTTTTTATGTTTATCTTTAATTTTGTGACAGGCATTCCATCTGCCTACAGAGGTCTGCATTAACACCTATTTTTACCATCACAAATTGGGGCCTGTATAAGAGCCTCACTCAGGTAATGCTTCTAGACCCTTCACTTAAAGTTGTGGTAACTGTACTTGGCTTTATTACAAATTTAACTTTTCAGAACTCTTATTCTTTGAATAATTTTAATGGGGCTTCATACTGTTTGCTTTCCAGATGTAGCATTATATGATTGTTGGATGTCTTTGGATTACGTGGTGTCTCGTGACCACAGTCATACTCGTAATTGGTTGATCCATAATCTTTGCTATAGACTGTGATTTCCATCTTATTCTTGTCCCTACAGGAGAGTTCTCATTCAGACAGATCACCCCCTTTGGTATCCTGGTACTTTGGTCTGTCTTCAAGTCAAGTACACCCACATCTTTGCAAGCCGAATGTAGGAGGATATAGAGGGCCAAAGTTCCTCCCGCATGGACTGTGCTATAAAGT